TAACTACCTACCTACTCGACTACTACTACGAGCTACACACGACTGCTACTACGCTGCTACTACTACTACTACTACTACTACTAACGCTACTACTACTACTACTACTACTACTACTACTACTACTACTACTACTACGACTACTACTACTACTACTACTACTACTACTACTACTACTACTACTACTTACTACTACTACTACTACTACTACTACTACTACTACTACTACTACTACTACTACTACTACTGCTACTACTACTACTTCTACTACTACTACTCCTACTACTACTACTACTACTACTACTACTACTACTACTACTACTACTACTACTACTACTACTACTACTACTACTACTACTACTACTACTACTACTACTACTTACTACTACTGCTGCTGCTGCTGCTACTACTACTACTACTACTACTACTACTACTACTACTACTACTACTACTACTACTACTACTACTACTACTACTACTACTACTACTACTACTACTACTACTACTACTACTAGGTAACGCCCTGCGCGTCCGGGTCCCTAATAGTGAACCGTTACTCTGATGCTGTTTCGCTGTCGTTTGCATCATGTTGCATTGTCTGGCGTGTTTTAGAGGCTTATGCGGCCCGTCTTGGGCCCCAGAATAAAAATGTTCAGGAATGGTTTTCCTTTTGAATGTTGGGCTTAAGTTGGTCCCCGTCTATAGAGTCGGACATGATGGAACCGAACGTCCTGTGCGTCCGGGCACCCCGTTGTCGAAGGTGGAGGAGGATGAGGAGTTGGAACATAATGATGATGATGCTAATGATGATGGTGGTGGTCATGATGATGGTGATGGTGGCCATGATGATGGTTGGGATGCTGCTCATGACGATGATGATGCTGATGATGATGATGATGGTGATGATCATGATGATGATGACTAGGAGGTGATGAAGATGCTGCTGATGACTTGGGAGCTCTCTTGGGAGTGCTCTTGGAGCCTTCCTACAGTTTCTGGGGGGGCCCTTGGGCCGTCTGGGAACACATTGGGGCGCTTCGGAGCGATCTGTCGCAACATGGGGCCCTCTTGAACTGTCTTCGGGGACTCTGGTGTCCTCGTCGTCCGTTTGGGGGCTTGCTTGAGCTTAAAAAAAAGCACGCGCCAAGCCGCGACGCGACAAGCCGCGACGCGCCCTAGGGATTCCTAGGTCTTCCCAGGTGGTGACATGCTTAGGGACCTTTGCAAATCGTAAAGATTTGTACGGGTCCCCAGGGATTTCACTCGTGATCTGGACGGGCAAGGCGTTCGGTTTGCGCAAGGAGTCTTAGAGGAATCGCAAGGGATTCCTAAGGATTCGTAGGGGGTCCTAGGGATTTCTAAGGATACCTAGGGATTCCTAGGGATTCCTCAGGAGTCGTAGGGACTCCTGGGGGGTCGTAGGGATCCGCAAGGGTTCCAGGATTTTCCTCAGGATTCATAAGGGTTCCTCAGGGCTTCTACGGATTATCCTAAGGATTCCTAGGTAGTGAAATCCTTAGGGATCCTTGCAAATCGGGGCCCGGACGGGCAAGGCGTCGGTTCGAGCAAGGAGTCTTAAGGATTCGCAAGGGATTCCTGACGATTCGCAAGGATTTGTTTTTAATGAATCCCTAGGGAGTAGTAGGGAGTCCTAGGGATTCTCAGGGAGTTGTACGGAGTCGTAGGGATCCCGAGGTATCCAAAGGAATTCCTAGGGAGTCGTACGGATTTGCAGGGCTTCCTAAAGATTCCTAATGATATCTAAGGATGCCTACGCATTCCTAAGGATCCTTAGGGATTCCTAGGTGGTGAAATCCTTCGGAATCATTGCACATCGAAGCGGTTTGTAAGGGTTCCTAAGGCTTTCACTAGGGACCCGGACGGGCAAGGCGTTCGGTTTGCGCAATGAGCCTTAAGGATCTGTAGGGGATTCCTAAGAATTCGTAGGGATTCCTAGGGATGCCTAGGGATTCCGAATGAGCCGTAGGGAGTCGTAGGGATTCCTGGGGAGCCGTAGGGAGTCGTAGGGATTCCTAGGGAGTCGTAGTGGGTCGCAGGGATTCCTTTAGATTCCTAAGGATTCCTATGGATTCGAGGCAGTGGAATCCGTAGGAATCCTATGGATTTCTACGGACTCCTACGGATTCCTAGGGATTCCTATGGTTTTTTTTCACGATTCCTACAAATTCCGAAGGGGCTCTTCCAAAAGATTCCTATGGATTCCTAAAGATTCCTGAGCATTCCTATGGGTTCCTAGGTAGTGAAATCCTTAGAAATCTTGGCAAATCGTAAGGGTTTGCAAGGGTTCCTAAGGATTTCACTAGGGACCCAGACTGGCAAGGCGTTCGGTTTGTGCAAGGAGTCTTCAGGATTCGCAAGGGATTCCGAAGGATTCCTACGGATTCCTATGTATTCCCAAGGATTCCTAGGAAGCCGTAGGGAGCCGTAAAGATTCCCAGGGCGTCGTAGGGAGTCGTGGGGATTCCTCTAGATATCTAAAAATTCCTAGAGAGTCTTAGGGATTCCCAAGGATTCCTAGGGAGTCCTGAGGATTCCAAGGGGGCCGGGGATCCTAAGGATTGCACTAGGGACCCGGACGGGCAAGGAGTCTTAAAAGAATCGCAAGGGATTCCTAAGGATTCGTTAGGAATCTGGGCGATTCCTAAGGATTCCTAAGGATTGCTAGGGAGCCGTAGGGAGTCGTAAGGATTTCTAGGGAGTCGTAGGGAGCCGTAGGGACTCCTATAGATTCCTCAGTATTCCTAAGGAATCAAAGTAGTGAAATCCGCAAGAATCCTTGTAGGGGCTCCTAAGGATTTCACGAGGGACCTGGACGGGCAATGCGTTCGGTTTGCGCTTGGAGTCTTAAGGATTCGCTCGGGATTCATAGGAATCGTGGTGTCCTAGGAATTCCGAGGCAGTGAAAACTTTAGGGATCCTTGCAAGTCGTGAGTATTCGCAGGGTGTCCTAAGGATTTCACTAGGGACCCGGGCGCGCAGGGCGTTCGGTTTGCGCAAGGAGTCTTCAGGATTCGCTGGGGATTCCTAGGGATTCGTAAAGATCCCTAGGGATTCCTAAGGATTCCTTGGGATTCCGAGGAATCCGTAGAAA